ATTTATAACACTTTTCCTAAGAGCACCGATTTCAGTTAAGTGTTGTTTTGTGATCATTGGGAAAAGCAGCTAGGCAGGTGTAATTGTGATTAAGTTCGAAATGATCTGACTCTGCTATCTCAATGTTTTCGGAATGTTGCCTATTTAGTTACATAGAGATCGATCGTGGAATTCCAGAAATATTAAGATAACAGTGTCAAATAATTTCAAACCGACTCAACATGGTGAATTATTCCTGCCTGGATGCTGCTCTGAATGGTAATAGGTTCATTAACTGAAATCAATGATCTTAGAAAAAACTTAATAGCTCTCGAATGAAACAAACTAGAAATGTTGGTCTTGCATAGAATGGAAGAGAACAGCGTTTTTTTTTTGTCTATCGATTAGTTCTATTAAAAACCTTAATCAAGAGGAAAATAGCTTTGAAATATCGTATCCAAAAATTCTCACTAAGAACTCACTTGAATGGTCCATTGCTGACCAATCATATTCCTATGGTTCAGAGTTTTCTCTCTTGAATGGTGAAAATCGCAGGTCTCTACAATAATTCTATCGAAGATTATTCAACAAACAATAGAGCACATTATATTTTGCAATGTATATATTAGATTTAAAACTTTAAAGCTTTATTCTTACTCGAAGAAAAATATCGCTCCGTAATTTATTAGTAGCACCAGTTGTATTTGTTGTTTGTCCAGTTGATGTATTATCATCATTAGTAATAGCTTCTGTTTTTATTGATGGTGCAGAAGAAGGTGATGACCATGTCGAATTATTGTCTAATTTTGTTACATCAGATAGACTTGGTGTTGATGACATTGTTGTTGTGGTAGGTGGTTGTCTTCCTAAAATTTGTTTAAGAAGTATATCGGCTACAGTATTTGAATTAATATTTGAAATTGCATTTGTTTGACTTTGACTTCTTGAACGTTTTGCTGGTGATGGCATATCATTAGGTAATGGTGATACATGTGTTGTTGTTGGACTTTCAGCAACTTGTATAAGATCATCAAATGTATTTGTATGAGATTTCGTATCATTATGGTAATGTGGACTTGGTGTTGTTGTTGATGATGGTGATTTTGTTGCAAGTAATTGTCTTAAACGTGTTGAACTACGTGATTGAGTTGTTGGAGCTGTTAATGGACTTGATGCTGTTGAATATATATCATTATTTGAAAAAAGTAGTGATGCTGGATCTAATAATTGTAATGGTGATGATGGTTTTTTATTAATTGGTGAACATGATGGTAAAAATGCATTTAAATCATTTGATGGTGATGCAGATGTAAAAAGTAAATCAAAAGAATTAGCAGGTGATGGAATACTACCATGACTGGAATGAACTTAAAATAAATAAATGAAAAAACAAAACAAAACAGGAAATTAGTTTTATTTATGTTTTAAAGATTTACCGGAATTTAATGAAGGACTAAAAGATGTTCTTTTACTACCAAATTCTACTTTATTCGATGAAGAAACATCTTAAGAAAAAGAAAATTATTATTATACTTAATAAAAACGAAAGATTTCTTATGTATAATTATATTTACTATCAAATGTTGAAGATTTTTGAGCATTTGTTCGTGGTGGTGATGGGATAGTTAATTGTTGTTGAGCTTTCTCATTAGGACTAGATATCGGTGCTGATAATGAATTTTGTACTTGAAGAAGTGTTCCCAATGTACTTGATACATGTTGTTGTAAAGAATCGGATGCATTTTTATGCATACCTAACATAGTTAATGCAAATTGTGTACCTATGGGTGGTGTTGATGTTGGTGCTGGTGGTTGTGTAAGAATTTTACTTGTTGATGATTGTTGTTTATTTTTTTGTAAATCACGATTTGATGTTATTATTGATTTCATTAAACGTGTTGAAGCATTACCATTTAAATCATTTATATTATCAATTAAACTAGAAGAACGTTATTTATATATTATAATTTTTCAAAAGATAGAGAAATTTGTAGAACAATTCGGACTATAATAGGATATTGGTTTTTCACTGACAAGAGAACATTCCTAATTGATATATCACTTTGTGAGTCCAAATAATATTCATCATATAGCTCGTAATCAGCTATGAATACTTTGAAAAGAATTCCAGTTGTTAGCTTATTGTTGCTGAGATACTGTATTTTTTGGTACAATGTCGTGGTCTCCTCACAGACACCAGATCTTCTGATTGTTCCTACCCTAAGATACAGCTATTGTATACGAATGTTTTTTTTTACGTCACTCATATATACTGATGTTCTTATTTCAAAATAGGAGTAATCAGAAGACCTGAAACTTTCACAATGAACTAGTTGCATTAACGTCTGTGTCTATGCAAGATTTCAAATTGAAATTAAAAACTCAGTTTTCTTAGTGTCTCTGAGGAGGACTACGATATTGTGCCAAACAAAAATACAGTATCTAGGCAATAATAAGCTGATAGTTCAAATTATTCCCAGGTTATTCATAGATCATTGCGAGCTACATGATGCACTTTTCTGCACTCAATAGAAATGTATCAATTGGTTACATTTCTTTGTGAGCAGTCATGTACAAGTTAAAATATAGTATAAAAATGTTGAGTGATTTGTCTTTATATTAGGACGCAGTATGTTACAGAGGTGAGCACAGGGCAGTAAGAATCTTTATTGTGACTTTCGATTACGAAAATGCATATTACTTATTATAGAGCTAATTTATTTTGTATTATTTTCTATGATGACTAGTATTATAAATACAAGAAAATATAGAAACATATTGATTTGTTATTTTAATGACATGTTCATTACAGAAAACAAATATAAAAATAAATATGAACTTGTGGGATTTTATCAACAATATGTTAACATATAGGGGGATACTATTAATTAAAACAAAATAAAGCAAGGAAAATGTACTTGATAACAAAAATGATACAAAGAAGAATATATATATATATATAACAGACATAGGCACATGACAATGTTTTGTTCTATCCTGTTTGAAAACGAAGCTATATCAAGTTTTGTTCAAGTTATTTAAGCCCCCCCCCCCCCCCCCCCCAAAAAGGTGTTCCCCCTTAGAATGGGGGCGTTGCCCTAGCAATTCCCGGTGGCGCAGCATTCGCTTAGGGCGC